GGTGAAGAGTCATCTGAATGGTTTACAGTGCACCCACATGAGATGAAGACTGTACTCATAATAGTCTTCAATAAAAAGTGTTTTAATTGTATATGGTACAGGTCGGCCCCTTAATATAGCTTACATTATACCTACGTCCTCTGTCATCCACTAGAACGCCACTCTCTCGTGAACGTGCATACGACAGTTAGTGGAAGCTAGAGATTACGATATGTAAAGTTTTAAATATGGATATTTTTCTTACACAAGCACATCGCTTCCCTTCAAAAGGCCTTTATTAACCCCAGGAGCCGTGTGGAGTGCTTTTTATGATGGATGGACACACTCTTTTGGGCTTCAAAATCTCGATCACCATTCACTGCCATTATAAAGCTTAGAAGAGCCAGGATATGTTTTAATACAACTCCTATTGCATTCGTCTGAAAGAAGAAAAGCATATACACCTAACTTGAGGGTGAGTAAATTATGGGGTCATTTTCATTTTTGGATGAACTATCCCTTTAAAGTAACTGGAATCTTACCTGAAAACTATTACTGTGCTATTGCCCTTGTCGCAACTTTCCTGGGTGACAGCTAGCCTAGGTCTAGGGCTCTCCCTACCACACACCATGCCGGGTGTATTTTCTATTATATTTAAGTACATGTTCAAAAAGGTGAATAAAATGCATTTCCTGATAATACATCTGAATATGTGGCAGCTCACTGTCATCAAATAAATAAATAAATAAAAATGTAATAAATAAATAAAGTATGCATTCCTATATTGCAGTATAGGAGCAATATTTTTTAATATATATAATATATTGTATTATAAACTATAATAATATACATAAAATATAGCTGCATTTCATAAAATGCATTTACTTTACATTCAATGATTTTTCCTTTGATCTTTCATATTTTGCATGTTTATTTTTCCTCACACACATCACAATGGAATAGTAGTCAAAGTGATAATTTGAATACACAAATAATACAAGTGTATGACATCTGATCTAGCGGAAAAATTCATATAAGCTTTGCATGAATGCTCAGCTACTTTAAAGAGAGACTGAGATATTGACTGACCTAATTGGCAGTGCTGGTACTGCATTGAAGAAAATCTTGTCTTGTGATCAGTCTTTTTAAAATTAAATTTTACTTCTGTGTAAAATTTCAGGCTACTACTCATGATGGTCCCAGAACAGACTTTACTCACATAACATTGACATAAATCTATCACTGACTGCTCTTCTCAGTCAGGAATTAGTTCCATATTACACTGTGATTACTGAGAGAGATCACTGCTCAGTCTTGGATATTTGCTTTAATAATGTTATAGGTAAATGTCTGTGCAAATCTACGCTCAAACAGGCATAACCTGCTGTGAGGTCCACTTCTGTGTCAGCTTATAGGACTGTTGGCTTTACTTTTGTTCTTTCAACATGACTGCTTTCAACATGACTGCCAGTCTGGTTGATCAGGTTTGTCCTGTAAACCTGTATAGCTACTAAACAGGTCACTTCAGACAGATAAGCATGCGTACCTCTTTTTTTAAGTAATTACACCATCATCATATTTGCTGAATGAATTCCAACACTTGTTACTAATTTTGAAGTGCTGATTCCAAAAAATAAAAATAAAAAATGTTTTGCTGTAGCATGACACACTTTCTAAAACAAATATTATGAATTTTGTAGCATTTTTGCTTTCAACAATAATTTGTAATGTGAAGAAGTCTTAAATGATCCCTTAATCACCAGAAAATATTAGGCATTTCAGCAGAATTTCTTTTCAAGATGCAATGCTGTGTCATATGTAAAATATCCATAATTATATCAAAATATATTTGTTTTAATAGTTATTATTTTACATGCAGCTAAGTATGACACTTATGGGATGATTTCCCATAAAATAATGGTTTGCAACCTCTTTTGACCGAAAAAGTCACTTTGTCTGACTGACCACACACTCCAAATGAAGAAGCAACCAGTCACAATGAACAGACGATATTTGTTATTTCATCAGAACACAACTTTAATCATTTTAGCAGTATAATCATACCTTCGAAAAGATCATAACTTGTGAGATTGTTTTATAAATTATTTAATCAAAGTTGCTTGTAAAAAAATTAAATAGGTTACTGAACTAAATTATCTGTAATATTACAATATACCGGTAGTATATAATATTTTTTTTTTCAGTAGTCATAGTCATAATGTTATCTCTATATGCCGTTAAACCTTCACATTTTTATTCTTAAAGTCATTGCTTTGCACATACCATCACACACAGCATCACAGCCTGCAGGTGCCGAGGTTGTGACCAAGAGGACAGTTCTTGTGATGAAACCACTCCACTCTCAGTATCCATCTCAGCACAAACCAACCAATGATCTCTGACACTTACAAAAGAGGATTTAAAAAAGGACACCAACTCAGAACACAAGGAAACCTCCAAATCAAACAGAGACACACATTTTTTTAGCATTCTCGTAACGTATTTACAACAGAAAAACAACTGAGGTCGAGGGCTGCATAGGTCCACAGGATTCAGAAAATAAAGTATTTCTGCTTGCTAAGTGATTACGCAGTGTGGAATACTACTTACTCAACTGGATCAGGATTTGGAAATGACCATAAAACATGTGCAAGCATAAAATACATCTTATACTAGGTTTGGTGGTGTTTAGCGATATTAGCAGGCATCTGTTACATTCAATCTCGTTGGTCGCTGAGACAAACTGTATGGTGATTGAATCCCAACAAACACAGAGAAACATGTTACAAATGTGACAAATCTGAGCAACCACAATGCCGCTCTCCGTTTAGGAATATGTTTTAGTCAACACTTTGTGAATGGTGTCGTCTGAAGTACGTTTAGTGACTGATTCAACACTTATTGCATTAAACCAAATATTTACGAGGCAAACCAAATGATTATATTGACATGAGTGTTGAAACTGACGTAACTCGAAATCCTTCCTGACTTGTAGAGTGTCACCAAGTACATACACAAAGGATTTCCAAGTAAACAAGCTGTATGTATGTATGTTGTATACTTCTTAGCAAATTAATAATAGTGCTACGCCATTGCCATTAGCCCACCGCTCTCTAACTCATCTCTTATCCATCCTTCCTACACCGTCAGGCCCAGCTGGAGAGGCTGAATTAGTTTTGTTTGGAGGGAATCATTTCTGATCCGTCTGCTGTTCCAGAGCAGGTGATCCGAGCTGAATGTCCAGGGTTATAAACCAACTAATAAGCTCTCGAGAGGGTATACTGTATCTCTCATTGCTTTCCTATAAGTATTCATTAGCGAAGTCCTCAGCACAGAATGCCGGACTGGCCTTTTATATCTCAAATGGGCCCATTGTGCCGTGCCATATGGTCAAAATTTCCTGGTCAGGCTATTTTAACTGAAGCACATCATAAGCGTGACATAGCATTGTGTACATATAGCACTAGTTATGGTGTTTCTGGTAACATATTGGTTTAATATGAAATAAATTAATGTATTAATAAAAAAAAAAAGATGACCAATGTTTTTTTTTTTTTCTCTAGATAGGAGAAATGACAATATGGGCCTAAAGGCAATAAATCAGAGCTCTATTGGTAAGGATATTACATTATTAAATCTTATTATCATTATTAAATCTTATTATCAGATGATTGATAAAACTCAGCTAGCCAAAATTCACAAAAATAGCCAAGCTTTTAGCATTCTGAGTACATTTAGTTGACAATTCTGAAATTTAAAAACAGTGGAATAAAAGGAGCTTCTCTCAGCATTTGACCAGTCAGGTCAAATGCCTTTTTTTTATCAGCTAATCTGAACTGCATTAGCAGTCTATTTCAGAAAACAAAAAAATCATTTTGTGTTTCTGACACCTCAAAAGGTCACAGCTAATGGTAGTTTAAACAGCAAAAGGGCAAATGGATTGATTTGTTCTATTAAAATCAAAGTTATTAAATTTGCCTCAGAGTCAATATTTAGAGTTTAATGGTATTGCATGTGATGGTCAGGGGTGATTCCAGGATTTTCATTTTAGGGGGGCTCAGCCCCCAATGAGGGTATAATATATATATATATATATATAATGGCAACATCGTTTTATAAAGTATATGCGTTCATATGTGCTTCAGTGCTTCATTTTCACTGGAGGAAACCTGTGGCTTGATGAGGGGTGAACGCAGCGAAAACTTAGGCTACAGTAGATGGGGAACCGATTGCTCCCCCATGATATTTAGTAAGCTGTATTTATGACAAAGAACTGCACAGATGCAGATATTATAACAATCTATTGATAAACACACACCTTGTCCTCTATTTCTCGCTCTGTGCCGCTGCGGTCTGCGGATTGAAAAAGAACGTGCTGAAAGATTGTCGAAGTCTTCCGCCGTTTTCATATGACGTTTAAAGGGGACTGAGGCGATCACGAATTCGTGTACAGTTTATGGAACTAATTGCAAAATTTTAGGGGGGCTAAGTAGTCATTTGGCCTAGCGACGCCCATGGTGATGGTAATACACATTAAGAGAAAATCAGCTTTTCAAATGTAGTCTAAAGGTGCGGTCACATTGGCAAAACTTAACAAAATTTCGCAGACAGAGGTCTAGCAATGCATTTAGCACTGTTTAATCAGAGGTCACTTCCAAACAAAGTAGCTTAATATTGGTAAATGCAATGAATTTGCATGTTCAATGTGTAATAAATCTAAACACGATGCAAATTTCAATACAAATTTACATTTGTACGTATTTACGTGTCTGTCAAACCTGAATCCGATGCAAATTTTGCCTAGGAAAAATTTTTCCCTTCAAGCGAAATTCCAGATTGGACTAATTGACTACATTTTACCCATAGAATCTTACCGTACATGTGACCACACCTTAATGCAGACAATCTACAGATATGTACAGGGAGGGAATAAAAGTACATGGAACGTGTGTGTGCGCCATTTTATTTCTATGGCATGCGTTATGCTAGCCTGCTTTACACAATTGAAATGTGGCTCTTTTGTTTTTAGTTCACATACTTAGCCTTAAAGCTATCTGTGACTGATATATGTCATATGTATGAATGTGAATCGACCATTAACGACGATTAGTCATGTCCCATGAGATGGAAACACAGGTGTGTGAGGCCTGCCATTTTAACAGGTTCACACTGAGGCTGTCTAGAGAACTTAGTTAAACTCAAGGCTTCGTTTTGTGTTTGTGTCACAGCGACACAACCTCATTAGAGCATACCTGTAGAAAACAAAGAAAAACTAAACATAAAATAATATATCAGCCCTTAACTTTGCCTTTCCTCCACACAAAGAACCAGATTCCTCAGCCCAGCCACCTGAGACGGGCCTTCATTCTTCTATCAGGAGCTTCTTGATTGAGCTCCTCAATTTCCTGTTGATGTGACTATCTTAAGGTTTGCAACAAATTAACATCATTTTCACTGAGTTATTCATGCCACATGAATCTCTACATGCAGGAGTGTTTGAATGTGTGTGGATGATGGGTAAGCCCTTTACTGTAATAAAGAACGATGGATCCTCTCTGTGTGACTGGGGTAATATGTCTCGTAAGCTCTGATTGGCTGGGTTCATGCTGCCAAATAGCAATTTGGATGGTACTCAGAGTGAGAGCTTGTTTTCAGATTGTTTGGGTTTATTTCTTTAAAACTTTAGCAGGATAGTCTAAACTCTGGTTCTAACATGCATTTACAGAATATAGGGTAGAGAATATAATATCTTAATATAATATATAAAACACTAATGATGCTAAAACAGATTTGTGGACGTCATTTTGCAAATTGAGGGAATAAACAGAAGTCTGGATAATGTCTAACATCCCAACAAAGACCGTTTCAGTCGAGCACTTAAGCAAAGAAGGGACATTAATGTACCCAGACCTCCAAAGCTACTGACCTGACCTCACAGGAAATGACATCATACCAACAACAGAAATATCAGGCTACCTTAATAAGGTTACAGGATCTTAATGGGAGAATCTGAGTTTGAACCTGGGCTTTTTGTCGGGTGTCTTGGTATTTGTCTAGGCAGATTTGTCAATGGATAAACTGCAATAGATACCCTCGTAATGAATAGAGCAGCATTCAGAGAGTTTGTGATTACGAAGAGAAACGAGAAGAACATCTAAGTTGACACACGGATGCAAGCACAGGCACACATGCACACACACTCATCCATTCGCTCACATAGACACGCACTCAGTCTTGAATATTCACTTGGATATTGTACATTTAACTCATCCGTCTCTGCCAATCCTTCCTGCACAAAGACCCAAATGAAACGAAAAGAAACATGAATTAGATCCTGTAGCCATCTAGTGCAACAGAAATCCAAACCATAGACACAGTGTAAAAAACATGGTGCGAGAGAACACTATCCCCCGAGAAGCCTCTTTCAACAAAGGCTACGGTGTTGTCCCTTGTTCTTGTTGCTTGATTGGATTTGTCCAGTGTTTGTTTAGCTTCGTCAGTTTGCTTGGTTTGTTTTGATTGCATGTCCTCAGTCTCAGTCCCAGCAAGTTCCCCACGGTCCATCACGTCGCTGGAATCGGCACTGTAACCGTGTCGGTACTAAGTGGCTATTCCGTCATTCCTCGTTGGAGGAGCTGGAGGTGAGGTTGAACCCAGTGGGATTGTGGGATGCTGTGAGAGTGGCAACAGTATGAAGGAGGACGAGGACCAGCAGGCAGAGTTTGAGTCTGCTGTTGCACAGTCTAGAGGCCGCTGACGAGGTCAGGGATGTCCCGTGCTGACACGACGGGTGAGTTCTTTTGAGAGTGCCTTTGGAGCTGTTGTCCGCCCTGCTGTCCCATCGGACATCGCAGCACTCTGTCTCTGTGTCTGAGGGGTTGTCCTCTTGGAGCCCTGGGCCGGCAAAAGACATAAGTTAAGGGTGATGATAAATGTTCACTACTAAGTAAAAAACCTTTCAAAATCTCTTTCTTGTAAAATGTACTAATTGTTCATGTTGTTTTTGTATGGTTTGGAAAATCTTTAGGTATGGGTTGGATTAAGGGATCTGAAATATGGTTATGCAGAATAAGGCATTAATATGTGCTAATAAACAATATGCTAGTAATACACATGCAAATAAGCAACTAGTTAATAGTGAGAATTGGTCCCTATTGGTCTTAATGACTAATTTTGGAAGTTTTTAAATATATTTTTCAATAATTTTTTTCTTTACAAATCATGAATTATTAATTGTGAGTGTACACATCTTAATTAATTTTAGAAAAAAATGTAAATGTATTTTTCAAGGTATTTTTTCTTCATAAATCTTACATTTTTAATTGTGAGTGTACACATCTTAGTGATTAGTTTTATTTAAAAATGTAAATCTATTTTTCAGTGTAAAACTTTTTTCTCTTTACAATTTTTTTAACTGCGAGTGTACAAATATTAACAATTAATTTAGGAAAAAAGTTTTCGATTACTTTTTAAGGTAATTTTTTTCTTTACAAATCATGAATTATTAATTTTGAGTGTACACATCTTGATTATTTTAGAACAAAAAATCCTTTTTTTTTTCAAAGCATGAATTATTAATTGTGAGTGTACACATTAATGTGTAAATTTGAAAAAAAAAAAGAAAAAGTTTTGTAATCTGCTTTTCAAGGTGACACGACATGACATTCTACACTCTAAACTAACCTTATCTTGTCATAAATAGGTCAAATTATGTGATATTTTAAGAGACTTGTTGACCTTGACACAATCATGCATATGATATTATTGCTTATGTTTTTTGATTACTTTCTCCTACTTCTGCATGTTGGTGTGATCACCTGGCTTTGTTGATATTAAAGGGATAGTTCACCCAAAAATTAAAATTCAGCATTCATTTGCACAGCCATGTCGTTCCAAACCCATATGACTTTCATCCTTCTGTGTAACATAAAGAAAGATATTTTGAAGAATGTTGGTAACCAAACCGTTTCAGTTTCCATTGACTTCCACTGCTTTGTTTTTGTTTAAAAGTCAATGGGAACCACAAATGTTTGGTTACCAACATTTTTCAAAATATTTTTTATGTTCAGCAGAAGAGAGAAACTCATACAGGTTTTGAATGACACCAGGATTCAGAACTATCCCTTTAATCAGCAATTCAATGTAATTGCTAAAATAGATGGATGGATGTATATAGATAGACGAGGGAAAGAAGAGGGAAGAACTGTACTTCCAGTTTCAGCCACAAGGTGGCAACAGAGACCAAGTGTCTACTCAAATCAGCAACGCCAATGGAAAATGCTGCCTACTCGGGCAATAGATGGTCCAAATCCAATGTTTGCATAACATCCTGTCTACTGTGATGCCTTCATTTGGTTGTATCCTTCGCTGTCTATGACATCCCACATTTCTGTGTGTGTGGTTGGGTGGTTAGTAAAAGGAATGAAAATGCCATTTTGTCATTGGTTTGTCAATTTATGACTTAATTTCTACTGAGAAATAACCACTGTAGTCATTATATGTCTCCAAAGTTCATGTGAATTTATTCTATTCCATCAGACGTGACATTTTGGTGCAGTGTAAGCCGTTCTGAAATCAGTTCTCTTAAAAGGTGACCTCATACCAAAACACTGTCTACCTCAATGACAATGAAAAAATGTGTTGCTGATATTGCTGTAGTCCCTTCCTCTTTCGTATGTGTATGTACATATGTGTATGCATGTATGTATGTATATATATATATATATATATATATATGTATATAAAAACATATTTCTTTTTTATTGTTTTTTTCCCAAATTGTTTGTTTAAATGTTATTTTATTCTATATAACTTTAGTATATTTTATATGGACTAGTTATGTTAACAGATAACTTTTTTTTTTGAATATGTGAAATACACACTAAAGACAGGTAACAACCTTTATAAATATAACATAAAAACAGTTTTAAAAAGTTATTTTATTTTATTCTATTTTATTTATTTAATCTAGTTTTATTTCCTGTTTAATTCATTGACAGCCTGGGCAGTGAAGCAGTTGCCATTATTGGTTTCGGTCACAGCTAATGATTCAGTCCTCTCAAGAAGAGGAAACCACTGGTGATTTGTTTGTATGAGAAAAGGTCAAAGTGCCCACCTGTGCATATAAAACTGGGGCTTCCTCCGTAGATGAGCTCATCATTGTCAGGCAATATGAAGGGACACCTCTGCTGGACCTCCAGGCAGTACTTCCTGCAGGGGATCCTGTTGCTGCAGTGCATCTGTGTGGTGTGGAAGAACTGGGCACAGAGCCAGTGTTTGTAGACAGTCTGTGCAGAGAGAAAAGTACAGAAGGAGAGCTGTTAGTGCTTCAGTCTGGGCATCCATTGCAATTGATTACATCATCAGTAACACGGTAACAGTCATCGCTTAGGCTTTCCCACCTATGTATCTTGGCAACCTTGCAGCCTTCTTCCTCTTCATCATTTTATCTGTCACTTACAGAATCAAACGTTGCTCCATTGTTTTATGTTGCATTATGTATATTTTATGTACACAGATCTTATGCATATATAAAACCAGATTCAGCATCACTGTCTATTAGTATTAATAGGCTGAAAACCTTTCATTTACAAACACCATGCTCTCACTGCTCTCTAACTCTATACTCTTAGTCTTACCTCACTGGATTATATTTTTCTTCCTTCAAAGGAATTTTAGGAGAAACATCTAAGAATGTGCTATATTTTTGTTAAAATATATGTTTGTATCACAGCTTAATGTACAGATAAAACATGTATGTATATATATATATATATATATATATATATATTATATTATGTTATATATAATATATAATTATATATCATTCATAGGCTGATTTCACAGTGTAAACACTTTGTCCCTATGCAAAAATATTGCTGTTTTCTTTTTGAGTATCCATACTAGTAACTTGCAGCTTAACTACCATAGTACAATGCATTGTTGGAGAAATTAACTATTCACAACTGTTTCCCGAAACCCTAGTTACTTTGTCGCACCTCCATCATTTGAACCACATTAGTTCAAAAAACAAAAAAAAAACAAAAAAAAGAGTTAATGTCAGAATATTGCTGTTATGGTTAGTTAGGGTTTGTTTAATTTCCAGATGTTTGATTAAATCAAAGGTTCCCTCACAATGCACACTCCGGGTTCCCCGGGTACTATTCGCACATAAGTACTCTTCAAAAATGGCACTTTTATTCTTATGACAAACTAAAAGATGTAGAATGAAATGTGTATGCATGTTAAAAGAAATATATAGGCTGTATTGCATGTTAGCTTGCTTGTTTTGCTCAATAACATGATCTATTTAAGTTCACATGTGGTTAGAAGCATAGTTTATACATAGTCATTTCACATAATTTTGCGATAATGAATGCTTTAGGGAAATGCCCGATGCATGCAACACTGGCTCAACCAATATTGTGTAGAGGTTGTTCAACAGGGCTCTGTTTGTGGCCCGTTATACATTTGTAACACCACGGCAGGCATTAAATTGGATAAATAACCATGTAAACAAGCAGTTTTGTTTTGTTTAGAACCAAAACCTCCACTTTTTCTCATGGACAAACAAAAACGTGCCCAGTCAAACAAGAGGAAAACATCAAATTAAACCCATTTGCTTTGACAGTTTCCTTAATGTACAAAATAATATCCTACCCACTGTTAAAAGACTGAATGAATGGACTGTAATGCATTAACAGTGCTTCAATGAAAGACTGAGGAGAATCTCTGGCAAGTTTTCCAGCAGCCATTAGTTGCAGCTGAGAGAGAATGACAAAAGGACAGTGAAACAAGTTCAAACAAACATAAACACCTTCTATCCCGCATCAAATTTCAAAACCTTTCTGCGAGCCACAATGGATCTGATATGCTGTCAGCAGGCAGAAGAGTGCAGGCAGGTCCTCAACTCCATCTATAACAACAGCTCAGGCAATTATGAGTGCAATGAATCACTGTCTTCGCCCTAAGCACAGCGCCTTGCCTGCACACAGCTGTACATCATGTCATGCCACCATCCCCAATGAAATATTTATGTGGCATCACTCGTGTAAACTCTTTAAAAAGCACATTTCCTTTCTCGGCCTTCATCCTCTACCGCTTTGGTTTGCCTGTAAGTGCTTATTAGATTTGCAGAGAGCAAACCTCTCAGTGGGTGTTTGCTAATGCCTGTTCATATAATGAATCCCTCCTGAGACAGAGGTAAAGCAGACGTTTGTGGAGGATGACAGATCACAGAGAGGGGTACAGCAATCTCCTGTCTTCTCCCCGAGCCATTTCAGGCAGGTCTGATTGACATGCAAGACAAACAGCTTTTCTGAGGTGAAATAAGCTTTTGTAGGAGTTACCTGAGGACATTGTGATGCTCTCGAGTCAGCGTTAGGTTGGACCAATAATAACCCTTAGCCAGGTTAGACGCCATATTGAATTTTCACACACTGTATAAAGATCCAAAATCACATCATTTTCACAACTCACAACTTTTTTAAATCTGTTTTATGGAGATTTTTTTCTACTGATTGTTTTTTTCCCCGAAAAGACATTTCATCAGCTGAACAATTGGTATGTTCTTAAACAACAGTACAATCCATTAAATGCACTGTACTTACACCCCTCACAACCTTTATTCAGCCTTGTTTTCATTCCTGTCAAAAATGAAATATGCCACTACCCTGGCTCAGGTCTATAGAGGCAGAACAAAGCAGTGGATGACTGTATTACACATCAAAGATGTCCATACTGCATCAATATTGCATTCACAGAACCATACAGCATGTTTAATTATTAGCGAAAAGCTTTTTACCCCAAATACCATACTTTTACATAGTCTTTCGTTACTGAAAAATTGTTGCTTTAATTTAATTGAACAAAACTGAAAAACATTTAACGAGACCTTAGCCTCAAAATATAGTCAATATGTTTACTGATTTTTATTTGCTACATAAATCTACACAATGTAAAAAAAATAAAATACAAAAATATTAGATCGAATTAGTGCAGAATCAACTTTGCGTTGCTGTAAGGACCAGCCAAATCCACAAAGCTGGATCAGCCAAATTTCATATGCATAGTCAACGCAGTTGTTAAGAAAAGTGCTGAGGTGAATTGTTAATTGAATTGTTGTTGCTATCTAGTGGTTTAAAGGAAAATGAAATCAAATGCGTCTTTTATTGCGGTGTGCCTTTAGCCCCGTTGTACTGTATACTTTTTGATATTGAATTATTTATTGGCTATCTTTATGATCACCATTTCACCTGCTTTGGATGGATTCCATAAAATACTGCCATTATTACCAATGCTTCTATTATTTGCAAACTCACAGAAAATGGAAATGTATGCCAGAAGTTTGCCACAATGACACTAGTATTTCTACAGTACTGATTGCAAATACCTACTCAGTTGCTCAGTAAATACCTACAACCTGCACAATGTCTGACTAATATGCAGCTGCTTTTGAAAGCTCCAATCTGTATTAGCATGCATACTCCATGATGAACGCTAATGCCTTGTTATGATGTAGCAGATAAATCCAATCTTAATTCACTGCATTTCTTTGTTTTACTGTATACTGTGTTTGGATAATTATTGGAAAAAAAATAAAGCTGTTAATTTAATGAATATAGGAGTGTGTTCAATTCGTTTTTGCTGTGGTGTCGAAATTGGTGACAATCCTGACAAACTCAGTGCTGAATGATTGGTGAAGTGTTGTGATAGTGACAGACAGTCTTAGAAAAAGTGGAGCAGTGCAGCGTGATGATAGCTTCACACATACACCTGACTCAGTCACGATCACTTAAGATGGGCACACACACATTCTCGTGTGCACGTGGCACACATGAGCAGGGCCCTGGAGACTGTGAGTGTGGCGACGTGCTGGTGGCATTTGGAGCTGGCACATGATGACATTAATCCAGAGCTCATTTGCAGTGCTACAGTGTGGCAGGCCTGCTCAGGCTAACAGAGAGAGAGGAGCTAATTCCTGCAGATCTGCAGAGACTGAGCATTTTACACACATGGAGACTTCAACATGTGAATGTCACATCCTTCATCTGGACTCTTAATTTGTCCAATCAACACTAATTTTTGCTGTTGAAGTCCTTACATGTTGGTATTGGTCTTATATGATCAATACATCCAAAACAACCAACCGCAACACAGTAAGAAGAATAACAAGACTTTCATAAGAAATGGCAAATGTTCAGACACAAACTAAAACGTTTTTAAATTTTTTTTATTAGTTGAGCCTACTACTATCATTCAAAAGTTTGGGCGATTTTGTTTTATTTTTATTTTTTGAAAGGTATCTTATGCTCACCAAGGCTGCATTTATTTGATGAAAAATAAAGCAAAAAACAGTACAATTGTGAAATATTATTACAACTCAAAACAACTTTTCTATTTGAATATATTTTAAAATGCAATTTATTCCTGTGAATTTTCAGCAGCCATTACTCCAGTGTTCAGCATCACATGATCTTACAGAAATCATTCTAATGCTGATTTGCTGCTCATTTCTTATTATTATCAATGTTGAAAACAATTGTGCTGCTTAATATTTTTGCTGAAACTGTGATACTTTTTTCAGGTTTCCCTGATCAATAAAGTTTAAAAGAATAGATTTTTTTTAAATATATAAATTGTTGTAACATTATAAATGTATTTCCTGATACTTTTCAATTTAATGCATCCTTGATTAATACAAGTATTAATTAAAAAAATTATTTAAAAAGTCCCAAATCTTAAATGATAATGTACATTTTTCAATAACATGATTGCCAGTATATTTGATTTCTACTGTATAGAGTTTAGTGTTAGCATGTTGCTAAGCTAATGCAATACTATAATAATTATACATAGTACTCATACATATTTGGTACAAAAGTCCCTTACATGGAACTACTTTTATCTATATCCAGTACTGAATGAAATATTTTTATAATCAGACATTCTCTTATTTTGCCCCCCATGTTGGATGGATTCTTTCAAATTTGATGAGAATTTAATGAAAATTTGATGTTGAAGTTCATATTAAAAGACTTTGATTGTTGGTATTTTAGAAAAAATATGAGTAAAATTTGTGATAATACTGAAAAATTAGATGAAATTTAAGTCATAGTCTCAATTCGCTTTTTTTATTTAATCTCACTACTGTTATATCAAAGAGATGCCATTGGTGATTTTCTTTAGAACATTCCCAGAACCTCTCACGGCTGGTGAATATTTTTTTTTATTGTGAGTTCGACATGACCCCCAGAATCTCTGCTGTCCAGCGCTCCATTAGAGATGT